AGAGAGAGAGAGAGAGAGAGAGAGAGAGAGAGAGAGGAGGGAGAGGCGCTGCTTCCTTTCGCCTTCCCGTTGTACCTTTCCGCCAAAATAGTTTTATCACGACGTATTAATATTCTACCGTTTGAACTCGGCAAAAGTACACGGAAAGTCGTTATCCGCAATCTGCATCGGCCATTCGCCGGCGAGCCCCTATTTTCCCGGCGCGGCGCGCAGCCGGCCGCGCGCGGCCAGATAGTCGGAGAAAGAGGATCGTTTCGTACAGCAATTATTCCCCCGCAGATTGCCGGCGAATTTAGCGGGGGAGTCCTTTTTTTCGCGGGGGCTACCTCGCAAAATCGGGAATCGTCCGTAGTCACGCGAAGTCAGACGCGAAATCGTAGGATGTCACGAGACGACGCTCCGACTTATCCCGGAAGTGCACGGAAACCTCTTTATGGCAATGACTCGTGGCGTCGGTGCCGTTTTGCTCACCCGGAGGAATTCGCTTCTCTCTATCTCCTCCTCCTTCTCTCTCTCTCTCTCTCTCTCTCTCTCTCTCTCTCTCTCTCTACTCTCTCGCCCTCCCTCCCTGCCTCGTTCCCCATCGTTATCGTTACAGGAATTAATGCACACGGAGGAATCGAGGAATATTTTAGGGAGAAATCGCGCTCGATGAATTGGGAATAAATCGTCCGTTTAACGAGAGTTTCTTTTCGAGAAGACCCAATTACGGGCGTATCTCACGCGAAACGTTAAGTATCTTTCTGGGCGAAACTGAAGTTTCACAGACGGTTGATATGCACGGAAAAAGCAATTCCGTTGGTGTACTTGAGCTTTCCGTTGCCTGCTAAGGACAAGGACCAGATGCACTCGGTTGTAGGAACAGAGAGATCCCTCCTGTAGGGCTTCCTACTCAGTCAATTGTTCTCAGTTATTGCAACCAAGATTTTAATACAGAGCGCCCAAAAGATATTATCTCATCTTCAACGGGATACTTTGAGTCCTGGAGAATTTTACTCTTGTATGTGATCTCAAAAGGATTCTACGAAAACCAAATAAGTTTTAAGTATAATACTCTTGAAGTCATTCAATTTTGTCTTTAATCTACATTACAATTTGTTCTTACATCCAGAAAAAATATAATCTTATCTTCAGAGGAATTCTTTTAGATATAATTTCAAGAGGGTTCTCCAAAAACTGAAAGGAAAATATCCTAAACACAATACTTTTAAAGTCATAGAAATTCCGTCTTTTATCTACAATATAAATCTTGTTCTTAATATACTGAGAAAAAAAAGTTTGGCATTTGTAACTATATAATTACATAGAAATAATTATTATGATCAAAAAATCAATTTTTATATATTATGATCAAAAAATCAATTTTTTAATTAATAGAAACCTATAATCTTACAAGTAGACCTACCAAAAAGGGTAGCCAAAATGAAAAGAATATGATCTAAATATTTTTGGTACTTCTACATTTATGCCAAATTAGAAAGAAATCGGAGTGTACTTTTTGGGTAGATTTACTTGTAAGTTGGATCAACTATTTTCTTCTCTCAATGTAGCAATTTCTACTAGTAAGAGAGCATTCTGTTTCCTCTGGATTCAAGAGGAAAAAAAAGTTAGAATAATACCTAGTAGTTTAATAATGCACTTCATTAGAAGGGGAATATTTTCTGTAAAAGTTGCCGCTTAAAATATGAAATTGCAGGTGTGTACCATACTGAGAGAAAAATATAGTTGTTTTTGGCGTCAACTATACTTTTTTGTGATTTTAACCAAAAAAATAATTAGAAAAACATTTTTCTAATAACACTTACTAAAATAATAGTTTTTCTAACTATTTTTGTGGTTAAAATCACAAAAGGGTATAGTTGACGCTAAAGACAACTGTATTTTTCTCTCAGTGCACCTTACAACTAGAATCTTTTTTCTTCCTGGGGTGAGCTGACAATATTTAGACAATATTTAGACAAATATTTTTGGTTATGGTAACGGAGATATCACTGTTAACGTTTCATCTGGTCCCTATTCAGTGGCGCGATTTTTTTCCGTGCGGATCTCGATCGATATTAACGCAAGCGGAAGAAGTCCCGATCTCGCTCGCACGGGATGCGGAAGCGAGCAACGTTCGCGCGCGCTTGAAACGTTTTCTCCTCCAGCGCTCGGAACATGCTCCGAAGATATGTGGCCGTTCGCATTCAAATGGATCACCGTGTATCTAATATTTCACTGTCCGTAACATTGGTTCGGGCCGGGCGTGTTTTATGGTTTTCAGGGGGTAATAGCTCCGATCGATCGCGTTCCGCGCGCTTTCGCCGAGCGATCTGCGCGGTCGAAGACGCGACAGGGGCGGCGGCGACGGCGGCTTCGGGATTGCCTTTCGCGAAAATACCACTTCTTCGTAATTGAAACTTGCCTGTAATTTCAGGGTCCTGCGCCATGCGAGCATTTGCTGGGCTTGAGCCCGTTGCCGCGCTCTCAGAGCCGCTATGACCGACTTGGCTTCCTCGAGTGACGTCACTTCCATCTCGTTACTGTCCTTCACCGGCAAGTCACTGACGCGGCCCTCGTCGACGGTAGCCAATATGCAGCTGTCCATCGATGTCTCGTCGAAGCTGCAAACAGAAAGTAGCGCGGCTGTGAGTCGTCTCGCATCGAGAGCTTCCGGCACATTTTCAAAGCGAATATTTTCAGACTTTCGGCGCTTCCCGGCCGAACTCCAAAATTAAGCTCGCTTGCGATTACGATATTTATAAGTTACAACTCGTGACACACAAGTTTCATTCCAAGAAATTTGGACGGTGCAAAATTGCGAATTTGAGGACGTTAACATCCTTGTGCTGGAATTCTGCAACTCGTTATTGGAGTTAACGACAGTTTTGTTATCGTTGCGCAGCTTTTGTATAAAAGTTGCGCAACGATAACAAAACTGTCGTTAACTCCAATAACGAGTTGCAGAAATGCTGCTGAAAATCGCTGTGTCCACAGCTAGGCGATCGAGATAATCGAGATGCGGCGGTTGGGGTTTCGCGAGTCACGGCTTGCACACACGTGTGTGCGTGAACGTGTGAAGGACTTTCGGGATTTTCGGAAGCGACGGGGTCTGAGTCGGAAAGCCGGCGTAGGACGATGCGTCTTTTCCGAACGATTACTCGTACACTTTGCAGGGAAATTCCCCCTCCTTTTCCTCTCCCCGAAGTCGGCGTTTCTCGGTGAGCGAGAAGCGACGACGATCGTTCGTTTTCGGGAACGAGAACCGATCCGTTCGGATAACCATCGCGTTCAGGTACACCCTCCTTCGTTTTCATCGACGCGGGTATTAATGAATCGTTCGGTGATATGACTGTATGAAATCCGATACGAGACGCATACGCGCGGGAAGTAATCGAACCCAATGGCCGGCCGAGAAACGCGATCGGCGAATAAATCAGCGATCGCGGAAACGATATAAGTTGGCGGCTCGATAAAACTCGAGCTTGACGATCGAACCGGCACAAAAGCGACGCGCACGCACATCTCGTACATTCGCCGAGTGTGTTGTTATTTTTTGGTGATGACGAGTTTTAGGAAGAATTTTATAGGTTGAGAGAAAAAATATCTAAGAGAGAAAAATTGTTAAAAAAATAGGGAAATATACATTTTTTTCAAAATCTTGACTTTCCGTGGAAACAATTATTTGTTGTATTTAAGTGAAAGGATTCAGCTTTAAGTAGATATGCTATTACTACCGAAGAAATATTTCTTACTTTTCACATATTTTTTTCTCTCGGTGTGATAAAAATCGAATTTGGTAACCGACGAATAGATCGACATTCTGCAGCAATGAACTATCCCTTCACCCCAAATGTGTTATTTACATTTTAGGAGCTGAGGTCATTCAAAAATTTGCTGTTTGCAGCGAAATTTACTGCTTCTCAGCGGAATAGATCTCATTGTGACCAATTTTTTTCTTTCTGCTGTCCAAGTCCATGACTCGCTGTGCGGGCAGGATTTACCAAGAAAAAACGACGAATCTTTCTCAGCGATTCAACGCCTCTCTCGATCCGTTTTGCATAATTTTCGCGGTATCAAAGCGCGATATCAAAGCGGGGAGTACGCGAACGGCTTATCGCGGTCTAATCCGTCGCGCGGGTCATTGCGAATAAGAGCGTCCAGGGAAGTTGCACTGGCGGTTGTAACGCGAGACCAATACCTACGTACGTGTGCGGTGTAGAATGTTTCTAAAATTGCAGCTGTTCCCATGGAACTTTAGCGGCGTGGCTCTCGCGGACGCGCCATAAAAGCGGGCTGTGTTACGAGCGAGCGAGGCCGCGCTCTGCGGCGAGTGATATCGATTTCCATCTGGAAATTTACATCGAGCCGTATATCAAACGGATACACCTACTGCGGTTCCGAGCGTAAAATCCTGCCGAATGCGTGCCGCGTATGCGCGAGCGCTCGCGCTCGTTCGGAGACGTGCAAGTTCGGTTTCCCTCGACAACCCTTTCGCACGGCTTGAAAGCTCGGACAGAGACAGGCGTCGTAAGCCCTGGACGGATTACACGTCGTTGCCTCATCGGTGGTAAACGAAACCTCTTTCGGTCAACGAGCTCGCCCGAGGATCCCCGTCACCCTTGAAGGCGCGCCCCTCGACTGAATTGAAAACGAGATTCCGCGCATCTCGTTTCCCGGAGCGATTGTGTTTATCGGAGACCGCACCAAGTCGTCGCGAACGTCTTCCGCGAGGGAGATCTCCCGAGCGGATGATCGGCCAGCTCACAGAGCTCTTCCCGTCCCTCTTTTCAATTTCCTTTCTTCAGGTGAACGAAACACCGCTTGCCGTTTGTAGTCTCGGCAGTAGTTTGTAGTTTCAGGCACGCCCTCCTCCGTTTTCATCGGCGCGAGTACTAATGAACCGTCCGGTAATAATACCACTGTATGAAATCCGATGCGAGGCGTGCGTACACGCACACGATCGGCAATTTACGCGCTGGGCGGACTGTTGAGGGGAGATTAATCGATGAGATTTTTCTCTGACTAAAATAATCGGCAAATTAATCACCAAAATTCGAGCAATCGTCATGTGCGTTTCTATCATGTGTTAATGCTCGCCACGATCCTGTCATATCTTGTTTTGCAATAATTGTGGTCATCTTGTCTTGATGCCGAATCCAGCAGTAAGAAGGCCACATATATAAAATGTATATCCTGATTAGTAGTTTTGGATTTTCCGCGAGAGAAAAAGGATTTTCCCCTCCTGCCTTAATTACAGACCAACTTTACCTCGTCCGGTCGTATGCTCGATTTCAATCACCTCATAAAAGAAAATTACTTTTATCATCCGAAACACCATACTTATTGTTAATTACTAATATATTATACTTGCACTTTATTCTAGCTAATAGTACGTCGCTTAATGTTCTTCACTTACAATGGAGAATGTTGGTACAAAATTTCGGGAGGCTGAAAAATTTACTCTGCTGCTGCTAAGCCAGTTGCCTCTATTTTTCAACCATAATTTCCGAATTTCTCCGAATTTTTATTGAAACCCAAGGGAAGGCGTCTAAGTTTTGTAAGAAGAATAAGATTTTGTGTATCATCTGTTCCTGTCAAGATAAATACTGAAAGAAAAGCACATGTGCCCGCGAGGCAACTTAGACTCTAATCCGCGTAACGTGGCGAAGATGCTGAATTATCGATTGATTTATGCGTCGATCTATTCTCGGCGGCGGCGGCGCGTATTTACGGGAAGCGTTTTTCCAGTCTGCCCACGCACCCACACACACACACACACACACCCACCGGCCGCCGACTAATTAAGCCCAAGTGAATTATTCATGAGTCGCGTCCGGCTGAGTCACGCCGGTGAATTTGACGTTTTCTTTCTCACAGGCGCTCGATCGATCGCTCACCCTGCCCCTCTCCGGCGCGTGAGAGAGCCCGAGGATCGAAACTGCGGTGTTACGGTGTGTTACGATAGGGGCACGTACGTTTCGTGTATGTTAACCCCGAGTAAAGATGCCCGGAGGAGAGCGAAACCAAATGCGTTTACCGGTGCGTGCAAGAAGAAAGAAACCAACAAAGGAACAGAAAAAAGGACATTTTTGTTAAAATACCTTAATTTCCGACATGTTGATCCTTTCAAATGAGATTACAATGAGTGTGTGTGTGGGGGGAGGGGG